ACCCTCATTCTTAAATAATTAAAATACTATAAAAATGACAATGAAATTTTGGGTCCTTATACATTGTCCCTTGCAATGCAATCATATGTTCAGACCTAGGAAATATTGATCCAAAAATACGCAGTCCAAAGACAATGATGCCAGAGGTAATAAAGGTTGGTCAAATAGTAAAAAAGTAATTTCTCGGGCCCCTAAACGAAATTAAAATAACCATTTATCATTTAATTTCGGCTGCCAATTATTACTTTTCAAATTTTATATGCAATCAATAATTTAGTACCGTTGATTAATTTTTAACTATTTTTGCACAGATGGCTGGATTTAAGCCGCCATTGGTCCGTATAATACAAACATTTATTTTAATTAAAATTTAAAAAAAATTAATTATGGGCACTAATTAGGGGGCAATCACATGTTCCGATTAAAAGGATGCTTCTAAGAGTTTTAAATTTATAGCCCCAACAGTCATAGGCTCATAGTAATAGTTTTATCCTAAATTAGTTGGAGTTTAAGGAGGTTTCTTGGCAATTTTATGTCTTTTCAAATTTAATCGCGTTACAAGTTTATTTTCTCTAGGAAATGTCTTGTCACTTGGCTATTGTACATTTTTGACAAATTGATTGAATAATAGTATGTGGGGTTTTGACATGTAAAATTATAATTTACCAAAGTAATAGTCTAGGAGAATTTTATTAGAGTTTGTCTAGCATAAATTTTTTATAAGTATAATTTATAAAAAAAACAATTAAAATATATTCTGCAACAATTAAAATTGATAAAACAAACAATTAAAATTGATCTAAAATATATTCTGCAAAAATGAAATAGAAAAACTAAGCTAGAAACATTTGATGCTAAATTTTTGGAATTAAAGGTTATGATAATATTATTTTAGCTTTTTACTATAGTCAAGATTGTAAGCAATGAAAAATATTTTCTGAATTTTCAATTAGCTTTATTAAATTATTTTAAAGTATTTATTTATGTTGACTTGTTAATAATTAGTCAATTATAATTACAAATAAAAAAATTCCATTTTACAATTTTAAAAATTTTATTGCCATATTTATAATGGTTTTCTTTAAGTAAAATCAAAATTAAAAGTATGAAAAAGAATATGTCTTAATAAATAATAAGAAAGAATAACTAAGATTTGAATATAATAATATAATATTTCAAAATAGTGTAGAGGTATAAAATGGAAAATGGTATATATTTTTTCTTGATGGGGAAATCGGTTACCAAAATTAAACCTAATGAGAGATTTCTGAATTTTTTAAAAGCATAGGGAGGTCTCTGTAATTAACATAAATCTTAAGGGAAGTTCATATAATTTCTTCCAGCACATATATTCTCAGCTTTTCATTTGGGCGTGATTGATTCGCTCGAATGCCAAGGAAAATGGAATTCGAATTCTATCTTTTCCCAATTTTTTGTGTTTGATACGTTTTAATTTCCATGAAATTACATTTTCTTGTTTGTCTTGGAAAATGGTATTTTTTTGATTTTCCAACCTACTGTTCACGATTTAATTTAATTTTATTTTATTTTTGGTTGGCATTGGAAACAAATTTTAAAAATTATTGTAAAAAAATATTTCACTTTAATTGGGAATTTTCATGTAAAACAAAGCCAAACGAACACCAGAAGATAGATGATTTTCTTAATTTTTTTTCCTTTTTGGAAATGAAAACAAATTTCATTCCCAATACCAGTAAAATATATCCCTTTAATTGACAATTTTCATGTAAAAAAAGTCAAACGAACATCAAAAAATATTTTTATTTCAAAAATTTTCACGTGGAAAATTATACCAATCAAACAGAATGATTTACAATTCTCAAGAAAATAATTTCTAGGCAATTCAATTCCCTGGAGTTCGTTTTCAATTTAATTCAATTTCATCTTTATAATCAAACGGACCCTTATAGTTTCAACATTCTATTAATTAATACACATGGCCTTTGATAATGATTTGTGTCAATATTTTCTTCTTGTGCTTTGAAATTATGGAAAATATTATTTATTGCAATTTTGCATTTATTGTTTTTTAAATATAACGGATATATAAGCCATCTTACACATACCTTTTGGATAAAATTCATTATTCGAGGTGAGATGAGCAAATTAATGAAGAGTTGAATATAAAAAACTTAGAGACATAATAATATGATGATAAAAAATTGGAGGCTTAAGTTCAATTAAAATGTGATGTACAAATAAAACTATTCTATAAATATAACCAAGGTGAAGTGCATTAATCCTAGACTACCCTTAATATCTTTCTCTTCCTATTACCAATCTCATTTTCTAACTCTTTTACGTAAAAAAGTTTTTTCGAAAGATCCAGCGCTCTCGAATAACATGATTTTGGAAGACAACAAATCCATATCAACAAATCAGTCATTTTGGTTCAAAAGTAGTTTTTCAAACTATATAAAAAAATAATAATAATAAAAAATAAATAATTATTTCTTAAAAAAAAGGTTGAACCCCAATATTGAGGGTCCCCACTGCCCCGTCCCTAAAACTTTGTGAGGGAGGTAAATCGCAGGATGTGCCCCAACAGGTCAGAGAACGAGAGCTGCATGTACACTGCGCCTACAAGGAGTCCAATTCCATGTCTCAGGAATCGAACCTCCACACTATGGCTGCCAGCAAGCGCGTGAGATAACCTCACTCCTGTCCTTTGCACAATTGAATTATGCCTCGGGGGTCAATAAATAATTATTTCTTGAATATTCTTCATCTTGACTATCAGAAAAAGGTCCTCTTAGAAAAAATAATCTATAAGGCGAGTAGTAGAGTATTCAAACTTGAATGAAAACCTACTAAACAACATGATATATAATTTTACAAAGCTCGTGCAAAAAATAATTTTACATGTAAATCAATTTTTTTCTATTTTCTATTCACATTTTTCAAAAAATCACTATTTTAAAACCTATTTTATCCAAAAAGGCGGGATCAAACGGGGTCATAATAAGTTAAACAATTAGTACCAATAATAAAACACGTTATTTGGGAGGACAAAATAAATAATTCAGATCAAACAGTACTTTGAAAATATATAATCCGCAATTGTATTAATTTTATTCAAGTCTGTCAGTCACAAGAAAACAAGGCATGTGATTCCTTGAAGTCAGTCAAGAAAATCGTCAATGGATGAGGGGAAAATTATTGAAAAATGCCATGAAATAATATTAAATTATTAGATTAATTAGATATCATGTATCTTTGAGCCGTTGGAAATTTGTGTTTGTAATTATTTATATAGATACGTTATGTAGTTTTTATTTGTTGGAGGTGAAGCCTAATTTCTTCTTAAGTTTGTATTTACCTATTTAATTCATTCCCGTGATGATTTGAATTATATAAATAATAACAATAATAATAATAATAAAACATTTTTAATTAAATATCTTCTAAAAATTATCGAATATTGAAATAACACGCTTTTAGAATCTTCTTTCATTCTTTATTTTTTCCAAAACAACATAACCTATATTATTGAATCAAATCATAGCGAATCATACGAAACAATATTGTGGACAATTTTATTTCCACTGCTAGAGCCACAGTACACAGCATGCAAAAAGAAATAATATCAAGCCCTCAGTTTGGCTAAAAATTTAATTTTTAGTAAATCTTGATAAATATTAATTAAACATATGATTGAAAAGTTGATAAAATTTGCGGATATTATAAAATGTGTGACTAAAAATTTTTTAAAATTTGGAACCAAAGAGGGACTAAGTAAAATTGAAGTACGGTCGCCAGCCGAAGTCTGTCCATGCTGCAATGTCATTTAGTCGACGTCTTCGGTTGAATTGCCACAATAATCTCGTACTCATCCCGAATGACAGCACCCATTGCGGTAAATAATTAGTGAATATTTATTGTCACGACTCCTCCGACTTGCCAAAACACAAAACTACAAATTAATAGCGATTTGCTAGTCTTTGTAACATTGACATATTAATCGTATAGATATATATATGGATTCTTGTGGCTGAATACACATACAAACTTTATATTAGGAAACTTTTCACCTTACATCAATTGATAGACATACGAGTTGACCTTGTAATAGGCCCTCTTTCACTCTCTCACCTTACACCATTGATTTTCTCAAAATCTTTAAAACAAAATTCAGTGCAAATATACATCGAAAGTTTTTTTTTTTTTTTTTTTTTTTGATAACCCAGGTGTCCCAGTTTAGCCGGACTAAATCCTGGACCTCTAGTCCCCGACCCCTCAGTGACTATACATCGAAAGTTAATATGATTAGAGAGAGATTTAGACAGAATTATATGGTTAGGGGCCATTTAACAAAGTTATTGATAAAATTTTAATCAGACTTTGATATAAGTTTATAAAAGTCATGATACCATGAAAGTTTAATTAGTTGAAAAAGATAAAATATTAGTTAAATTTAATAAAAAAGGAACTTAAAAATAATACTAAAATATAGATATATAACATTTAAAAGTAAGTCACTAAAATCATGCTTAACAAGAGTACTCTAAGACGAAGCAGACTTGCTTATCGGCATCTTGCAAACTATGTCATAAGGAGTGCTTATAAGTACGAGTAGGAGGTTGTGTTTGTTCGTAAAGGTGAAATCATCGTCAAATCACACTTTTGCAAATTTGAGTAATGACTAAGAATAATAATCGAAAACTCTATAAATATTTATTTTGATTTTCTTAGGAGGAGAAAGTAACCATGTGACTAAATTTGATAGACCGTGACATTTGTACATTTCACGACAGACCTCTGAATTGGTCTGCGAGGAAAGATTTCCTCATTTGGTTAATTGCTTTAAATCTTTTGCGAAATTAATAAAATAATTAATTAAATTATACGAACTTGGTCAAGAAATGAAAAGTAGAGCGCGTTTTCCGGTGCAAGGACGAATAAGCAAAAGCTGATCGTTGCTACGTGGACGTAACTCTACCGTCGGATCACCACTCAAAGGACTGGGATTCAGTCTTCTCTTGATGAGATTTTTATTACAAACTGCAAGATAACTGTAGAAGAATTGGCAAGATTTTGTGCTTCAAAACCAGTCACGCGCGTGCGCGCGCACACAAAAAAATAGTAGATAGTGTGTGTGTGAGAGAGAGAGAAAGTGTGTGTGCGAGAGAGAGGGCGAGGGGGCAGAGGGAAAATAGTACTGTGAGATGTCTTAAATTGAGGTTGCAGAGGGGTAGTTGCAGTGGCTGAAGGCGGCGTTTGCAGGGGCTGCGACTTTAATGCCTCAAAAACGAAGACAGAATTGAATTCAAGAGAGAGTGGGAGCGAACGAATTCATCTTTCCATTCCATTTCTTGACCTAAAATTCCTGAAATTTGTCCTCAAAAAGCTGCTAAAAGAGAACGAAACCCCAAAAAATCACAGTCAGTGTGTGTCAGTGAGCAGAGTTAGCAGCACAAAACACTCGCACACTCAATACACATATACTGTGGTACGAATACTATGTAGTATAATCAAGATTGCGAATTTACATATTAACCCAGTATCTCTCACACACACTGGCTACGCTGGGGTTATCTGGCTATGGATTTTGTTGTCTTAAAATTGAAGTTAGACGTAGATTGTAGGGGTGGAAAATGTCTGGGTTTTTCTCACTAGGTGGTAAGGATCAATCACAAGAACATAATCAAGACGCTAACAATAGCTTGTTTCTGTTTAAGAACGAAGAGATCTATAGCAAGGGTTTTGAGCTATGGCAACAGTACTATCAGTTGCATCAACAAAAGGTTCAGCAAAATCATCAGGATGTGGATTTCTCAGTTGGACCCAGTAGTAGGAGTAATAATATTCCAGGTGATGACTCTTCAAATTATAGTAATAGATCAGGAGGGTTTAGGGTCATGATGAGGCAAGGAAGAGGCGGTGGAGAGGGCATGAATTGCCAAGATTGTGGTAATCAGGCTAAGAAAGATTGCCCACATCTTAGGTGCCGGACTTGCTGTAAAAGTCGAGGATTTCAGTGCCAAACCCACGTTAAGAGCACCTGGGTTCCGGCTGCTAAAAGGCGCGAGAAGCAGCAGCAGCTCACGACCTTACAGCAGCAGGTGCAAGATCAACACGAGTTAACACTCAGAGGGGTAATTCCGAAGAGGCAGAGAGAGAATCCTGGTGGTGGTTCTTCTTCTCTTGCCTGCACTACTACTCGTTTACCCACCGCCACGTCAGGTAATGTTGTAGCTTTCAATACAAACAAAGTGGAATTTCAAAAAAATGAACGACACCGATTTGATGGGTTCTTGTTTTCAAATTTGAATTCACGAATATGTAAACTGTCGTAAGAACAAAGGAAGCATATAATCCATACATACACACATATCATGTATGTGCAATGAAAGAAAGTCCAATTTCTATATAGTCACACCACCAACCACCCGCCTTTTCTTTTCTTTTCTTTTCTATCTTCTACTGTTGCCGAGTAAAACTGAGGCATGAATTTGTGAAAGTACTTTCTTCTTCAATATTTTTTGGGTTTTTTTTTTTTTTTTTTTTTTTTTGGGGGAAAAATATATATGTTTGATCTTATTTTCTTGATTTTTGACTAGGGTTTGAGTTGGAAAACTTTCCAGCAGAAGTGAATTCTTCAGCTGTTTTTCGCTGCGTAAGGGTGAGTGCAATGGATGATGCTGAGGAGGAATATGCCTACCAAACGGCTGTCAGTATTGGAGGCCATGTTTTCAAAGGAATTCTCTACGATCAGGGTGCCGAAAGCCGCTATCCTGGGGAGAGCTCCCCCGGCTGTGGCGGATCCCAACAGCCACTTGATCTCATTACGGCCCCTGCAGCTACCACTAGCCAACAGGGTTTGACAATGCTTGAACCTTCTATGTACCCAACTCCTCTAAACTCTTTCATGGCCGGTACGCAATTCTTCCCACCACCAAGGCCATGAGAAAGCTAGTATACATAGCATTACTACGTACTCGTTTAAAAGGGGAGTTAGACACTAAAATCATGGTGCTGGATAATTAAAAAATATATACATTTGTCGCCCGAGATTTCAGTTAAAGTAAATGTCCATTTGTTATGTGCCCTACAAAAACACTGGGGATGTTTAATTCTTGTTCGAATTTCAATTATGATTTTGCTTTATGGTTAATTATTAATGCTGTTTATGTTATCGATAACCCTTTTTTGTGTGCTTTTGGAACGGCGGTGGTATTTGTGCAGCATTTGGATAAGCGTATTTTACATGTTTTATGTTGAAAAAATTATTGTATAAATTCTTTATAGGTTTTTCTAATTTGGGCTCGTTTTTCAATTGGATTTCTTGTTGATTTTGAACTTGATAATGCATTTCCCCTTATTATTGGTTTGTTTGTCGCATAAAACTAGGACGAAATAGTTAGGTATAGAATTATATAATTCTATGGCTGGTTCTGGTACGTACATCATTCCCCAAGCCAATTGTTTTTCGAAGGGAAATGGCCTGTTGGCGTTCTGGCACTGCAAATCTTCCATGCACTGGTAAATGTCATTTTGACATTCTTGTCCCAAAAGTGTGCAGCTTAAGAAATCTCCACATCTCTCTCTCTCTCTCTCTCTCTCTCTCTCTATATATATATATATATATATATATATATATATATATATATATCACAATAATACTTACATATACCATTGATCCCGTGATTCCACCGCGATCCCATTTCAAGAAACCTGGAAACAAGGCCATTGGAAACCAAACTAGTTGAAATTGACATGCATTAATATGACTTGTATAAAGATATTGGAAGAAATGAATTCTAAATGCATGTGATTCTTATACAAGTACGCTTACATACACACATAAATGTTGATGTAGGTTAAGGTGCTTTTATATAGGTTGCTAGATATGTTACCATTTCTAAGAAACAGAAGCGTTTAGAAACTTTTGTTAGGTTTGAAATTTCAAATTTGTGTACTTCAGGAAGTACATATCGTTTTTGAAGTATCTAGAGGATGGTGAGGTATTGAAAAAATAAAAATTAAAAGAAGCAATGTAACTTACTGCGGGGGAGGGGGTTCATTCTTTTGTAGACATGCATATGACTTACTTTCGGATTTTATTCGCGGAAAGGATATAAATGATTGCTTCTATAGTTGTGGGGATGATGATTTTCGAAGAATAATGGAGCTATCTTCTTGCAATAGACATTATGAACAATCATGAATTCTGTCTGCTATTGCTAGATTCTGTTACGAGGAAAAGAAAAGGTGGACAGATGAATCTTTCTCCCTGTGATATTCGAGAAAGGAGAAATTGATCAATGACATGAACCGAGTTTACTCGTAACACAATTGTGAGTGTGCTATAGAGTACAAAGGAGTATATTGTTTTTATTGGCGTCACCGTAGAACTAATGTTGTTTTTCTGATGTTAACCAGATGTATCGATTACGTGTCGCTAAGATCGAATTTGTTTATTTTCTAGAGAGATGTTAATGAGCAGCATTTGACTGACATAGGACATAAGCTTAAAATTAATGTCTTCCTAGCTCCTTGAATATCCGCTACTGACATGAACCAAGTTTACTTAGGTCATTTACTTATTCATTGTAGCAGTTAGTCTTTCCACTAGTCCACACCAAACACGACATCATGTTGCCCTTCTGGCATATGAAGTAGCAAGAAAATGTTGTTCAAGGTTTTCTTCTGTTCCTCTACTAGGTAACCAATGATGTGTGCAGATTGCGAATTCTCTTAATGTTTGGATAATAGAGTTAAGCCTCCATTTGGAAAATTTATAAATGGTTTATAAAGAGGAATGGTAGTGGAACCACAAAATGTGTGGGTACGTTACATTGTCGGTTTACAATCCAGTGATTGTTGATTCTTGTACCAGATAACTTCTTGAATTTTTTGATTTTCTCATCTATTGCTATGAAAAATAAAATTTAATTCAGATTTGAACTATAAAACTGGTGCTATAAGTTTAGCTTTGAGTGGCATCAAGAAAAATAATAACAAAAATCAGTGCAGCCGATATTGAATAATCTACATAAGGTTTTTCTATACTACACAGATTTATGAATATGCATCTGGGTAATAGGGTAAAGGGTGTCAAAATGTGTTGGGCGATCGCGAAATCAACATGGTCTATGCCTAGGCCTGTCCCGTGTGTGTTGGTTTTTTGACAGCATAAGATTCTCGGCCAAGCTATGCCTTCATTGAATTACCCATCTTTGTATATTGTTCTTATTTTGTATTTGATTTCAAAGAAACCTGTACTAGTGAAAGTTACAGACTCAGGATATCAGTTAGAAGGATTCTTTCATGACAACTTCCGCTATTTAGAAAATTACCAGTGGTAAGGGACTAAGGGTGAATTACTATAAATCGAACACTCACAAGAATCCTATATCTAATTCAAGTTACATGTATGGATGAATATATTCACATCAGATTGACATTTGATGTGTAATCATGGAAAATAAAACTTGAAATTCTTCTTCAAGATTCAGTATGGGCAATTAATGCGGGCTACCAAGTTCTTGAATCTTTTTCCGAAACCCATGTTCGGAAGTCTAGATTACTTTCCAACCGAATCAACCTTTCTAGTTAAGTTGAATGGATTGACATAGTAGGGCAATTTAGGGGTCATGTGCATTCATTTTAGCAGGAAAAAAGCGAAAAATGATCCAAAGAGTAGGGCTGATAGGTTTTGGAAGTTTTAGGAAGATAGGGCGAGGACAAGCGCATGCTATATTTTGCTGTTTTCTAAACAATGTAATTGCGATACAAAGTGGTCCAAAATCCCACTTTGTTACCAATAATGCGTTCTGTCCGGATAAATGACTCATCTTTGTTTTCTTTTTCTTCTATTTTTTGTTCGGCTAGTAAAATTTTGTGCAGGTAATGCCCTATTGCATTATTTGCATGGTCCTCGAACACGCATTGGACAAGCCTTAAGGGTTTGTTTGGGTATGATAGTAGGATTACAATGTATAAGATTTTATTCGAACAAGCAGTCCACTACACAAAAAAGGGCGAGAGCCATCTCGTGTTAAATGGTTGATGAATTCTTGATGGTTGAATGAATGTGATGAAGCCAGTTTCTAATGTCTTGGGTGAAATGCTACTTAGAAGTCGATTCGAACCACTGATATAAGGATTTTCATTCCTTTGCTTTCTCCTTTTCTTTTTAAATTTTATCTATTACTTTCCAATCCATTTAACAAAACATGTTATAACGATAGTGTTTCATAAAACGATTGGACCACTTTAGATTTTTCGGTACAACTTGATACCATGTGTTTTGGCACAAATTATCAAATAGTTGGTATTAAGTTGTACCGAAAAATCTTTTATATATATATATATATATATATATATATATATGCACACGATAATCCTATTCTAGGTGGCTCAGTCCCAAATTATTTGACCAATGTATCTTGAACATGTGGACCCTAATGAGCCTTCAATGGGGATATACGTGTTCCTTAACAATTAACAACATTATTCGGTTATCAATAATTTATAAATCAATGGGCGCTTCTTTTTCTGTCTTTGTTGGTGCTCTGTCTCTGGAGGGTATGAGTGTAGCGAAGCCTTTGCCTTGTCCTATTTCGTAACTGGATCCTGAATGTTTTGTAAATTTCCGAAAATTGTGCCAGATGTTCGTGTGAATCTTCATGAGGAAGACCACAGAATTGTATGTGATAAGTTAATTTCACATAACGATTGGTTCTTCTGCAACTTCCTCTTTCTGTTCCACGGTGTTTTCTTGTTCCTCCAGTCTGTGACGGTATGTAATTTCGATCTTCGAATCCAAAGCAACCAAATCGGGTACAGTCATCCGTATCATGTGCTCTAGAGCATGAACCTGAAAAAAAATAATAATAAAAAAATAAAAAAATAAAGAGGTTAGAGTAAGTCGATATTGATATAAAAAACACAGCCTCCGACAGCATCGTCAAAAACTTGTTCATTGATAGCGTAAGTTTACTAATTGTGATGTGTATATGATGGGTGAAGTAACATCCCCCAAAGATCGTGTTACTAAGCACCAAAATCAATAATCCTACCCCTATTTGAGAAAATAATTATGTAAGATGAGTTATTCTAAAATCTAATTATTCAACTACTTTGGCTATGAATGCAAAATATGTGATTTGAACACTTTAAATTTGAAAATAAAATGATGGTTAAAATTATAGACTTTTGACTTCACCTTAGTTTTTAACGTAACTTCTCCTATAAAGCGTTGGCAAAGTTTAACAAGAATATCGGTCAAATCTCTCTACTTTAATTAATACTTTCTTTCGAGATGAATCAATCCTATTTAACTAAGTAAACTAACTATATATATGTGCTCATTTCAACCTAGCAAATGCATTCAACATCAACAAACTCATAATGAATGCACAAACCAAAGAAGTGCATTTCTACCTTCTTCCTAAATTTTTAATGTTTATTATATTGATCTAGACAAATAAATCATCTGTCTCATTGCCACCCACAAGTCATTCATGATGTTATGCATTACTGGATTAATCGTGATCTTGAGAGAGAACATTTTATCCCTTTGTTCTTTAGCTGATTTTACCTTAATCATCAGTTGTCTTCTTCTTCATGCTGTTGATCTCCAAAGCTAACAGTGACAAAGAAGACATGTGCGGAGGTCTAGGTTTTGCCATAGGAATTACTTGCTAGTCAGCATCAGCGTATACATGTAAACTGAGTCAATCAACAAGTTACCGTTATTTGCCGTTGGGTTGCTCGTTATGATATTATGGTGCCAATTGGACTTCGGCCGAGATTTGCTTGCCTTTGGGGTAATCATCTTAGGTTGATCAATGCTGTGACTGGATTCGAAAATTTGTTGGTCTAATTAGGAAATCCATAGCCTTGTGAAGAGCATTTGTCAAGTGAACTACCCGAGTAATCTAGTTGCCAGGATTGTTGCTCCACCTTCAATTAAAAGATTGGCTTTCATGCCACCTTATGCTCTTTTAGTTGTTAGTTTTCTGATTATAGAGCTATTGCAGTGGATAGACCTTCTAGATTTCTTAAGATTTCAAGTACCCTTAATGGTCCTGGAGTTTGTCCCACGGTTCTTCAAATGTCATAGGCGAATCTCTTGTCGTGATTCTAGCAACAAATTCTTTGAACTCATCTCCTTAGCCATTGAGGAATGAACCTCTCTTTATTACTTTGCAATTTACTGATGAATGACGGGTCTTCTATGATGCACCTAATATTCTGCCATTAGTCCACAACCATGATTTCGTCCTTGGTG